GTGGGGGCTGCGCTCATCCACACCAGCATGCCATACTCTAGCACAGGGCGGACAAAGCCACGGTACACGATTGCCCAGTGCTTTGGGTCTAGCACAGCCGATGCTTTACGGAGAAAGCCGAGCCGCTGGGCTCCGCGTACTGCAAGCTGTCGGATATGGCTGCGGAATGCCAGCTGCCTGTCGAAGGTGACGCCAAGAAGCTTGAGCTCCTCTACTTCTGGCACGACTGCTCCTTGGAAGCGTATTGCGTTCGGGGGGGGGGGGGGGTTGGCGAGCGGTGGTGGCTGATGGTCAATGCCTGCGACTTTGTGGGCTCGAACTTGATCCTCCACCTGCTTCCCCATGCTGCCAGTGAGTCTACTGCCTGCTGGAGGATTGTTGTCTCTTCTGGCAGTCTGAGTTGGGTGGTGATGCACTTGTAGAGAGTTGTGTCGTCGGCGTATACAGCCAGCTTCGCCCCATCAGGCAGGTGGTCTTCTGCGTCGTTGACGTACAGAAGGAAGAGGGTGGGGCCGAGGATGCTGCCCTGTGGCACGCCAGATTGGATTTGGTGGGTCGGTGAAGACTGATGTGCAGTTACATTGAGCCATCGTGTTTTTGTTTTATGTTTGTGAATCCTTCCCGGAAGCAAATGCTGGTTTTTATGCATTCGTGTAATTACTCAGCCTTATTTGCAATAATAATAATAATTTCAAATTTGGACTTCACGGAAAGTTTTAGGAAATGAGAGGCCACATTCCACGTACTGCTCTTTTCTCTCCGAAACTAAACACTTGCAAGCCAGATATAAAAGAAATAAAAAAATCATCAGTCACACCACCGGGACTCGAACCAGCAGCGCACATGATTGTTCACAAAGAAACTTTTTTCGCAATAATTTTTTGTTTTACCGTAATCAGAGTGCGCAATAACCTGTTTTTTTTTACGCGCGTCCTTCGCCACGATCCCCAACCGGAAAAAGAGCAGAATGGCAAGCATCGATTTTCGTATCCTAGATTGCCAACGTCTCGAAGCCTTGACACTTGTCATGGGCTGTTCTAAGCTGCCAACGTTGTGGGAGCGATTCAGTCGACTAGCTAGAATAAGTAGAGTGAGGCAGCGTCGCGCCCGCCACCCAGTACCGATCTTCCTATCAGTTCGTGAGATGCACTGGTCAACTTGCGGTTGCCAGGCCATTCGTTCATCGATCAAGACGCCGAGGTATTTGGAGACAATATCCAGCATTGACTTTCTTATCCTACATAGCGAAGGTCTTCAAGCCTTTACACTAGTCATGAGTCAGTTTAAGGCGTTCAGCTTGTGGGAGCGGTTAATAGGGTAAACACGAATATGATGTTTCAATGGAGAACTGTTTTTACAAACAATTGTTGGGGGTCTTCGGGTTTATCGATCCTTTCACGAGCACACTGGCGATGGTTTGTTTGGTTTCGAAGTTTCTTGCTATTTTCCACAGCGAGACAGGTTGAAAGAAGAGACAATGTGTACGTTCAAGTACGGCCTTTAAAGGCAACAGTGCTGTGTTTTGGCGTGTTTGAATATCTGGTTTATTGTGCATGTACTACTACTTAGAGTGAGTATCATAAGGTGTCTACATGTATGCAGGTTCGATTCCTGGAACGCACATGATGATGTATCAAGACTTTTTTTGCAATAATGTTTGGTTTTCCCGTAATCAGAGTGGGCAGTTACCTGTTTTTTTACGCGCGTCCTTCACCACGATCCCCCACCAGAAAAGGGGCAGAATGGCAAGCATCGACTTTCGTGACCTAGATAGCGAAGGTCCTGAACTGGAGCCCTAGGTAGCAGCTTGAATCAGAGTCATCACACAGTTCTACTCGACAGATGGCGAGAGCTAGTACATATTCACAACGCTGTCACCTCCAGCAACTGTTCCTACGTCCGGGTGAAGGACAACAATACGAAATTAGAAGTTGCGGTATCGTGAAGAGACTGAATTCCCAGGTAGCAGCTTGAGTCAGAGTCGTCCTGGAGTGGTACTCCGCCCATGGCCATGATGTGGACTGGGAGTTTGTTGAAGCACAAGACAATAATATTCCAGAGGATAACCAAATTCAAAAGCAAACTCTGATTTTTTTGGGAGATGTCCTATAAGGGCTGCCAAAATAATATTTAAAATCGACAAGAAGCCCTAGAATGATCCTTCAATAGCAGGTGTGTATATAACTGCCTCATTGGGCATCTGCCCTTGTTTTTCGGATGGCATTTTATGCTCCTTCTCAAAATGTACCTGATTATGCCAAAAATTATGCCTTCTATTCGGCCTTCAATAGCAGGTGTGCATAACAGCCTCATTGGGCATCTGCCCTTGTTCATTGGATACCATTCGATTGCCATTTCAAAACTTTGATAATAATAATAATAAAAGAACATGATTATGCCAAAAATTATGGCAGCATAATCCACTTACCCCTACCAGTCACCCATCTTCTACACTGTACATTACGGGTCTTCGGCTTTTGCGACCCTTTCTCCACAACGCTGGCGGTGTTTTGTTTGGTTTCCAAGTTTCTCACTATTAAATTCATATCTTTCTACAATGAGACAGGTGTTAAGTTGAAAGAAAGAGGCAATATGCACGTTCAAAAACTGCCTTTAAAGGTAACAATGCTGTGTTGACGTGTTTGACTATCTTGTTTCTTGTGCATGTGCATGTACTACTACTTCGAGGTACGTTTCACAAGGCGTCTATGCAGGTTCGATTCCTGCAACGCACTTGAACGTTCATAAAGAGACTTTTTTCGCAATAATATTAATTTTGGTTTTTCCGTTATCAAAGTGTGCAGTTACCTTTTTTTTCGCGTGTCGTTCGCCACGATCTCCCACCGAAAAAGGGCAGAATGGCAAGCATCGACTTTTGTATTCTTAATCACGAGAGTCTTGAAAACTTGGCATTTCTCATGAGTCGGTCTAAGCCGTTCAGCTTGTGTGAGCGGTTAATAGGGTAAACACTAATAATTATGATGTTTTGATGAAGATATATTTTACAAACAATTGTTTTGACTCACAATTGTGTAGAAGTTGCGACTTCCGCGGTATTAGTCGTGAAGTAACTTGTTGGTTCACGGAGGAACACACGCTTTTTGCCGAACTTGACACTTGACTGACTCACGACTGCCATCCGGAGCACACGAGGAGTCCCGTCGCACCTTCAAGTCGGCAAACCTGCTAGAAAGCAACAATCTCTGCTCAATACACAGTGTTCCGGGGAATCCACGCCTCATCAGAGAAGTTTGAGTAGGCTGCGGAAGATTGTGCCTGAACTGCACCACTTATACATGTATACGGCTCGCCAGAGCCAACCACCAACAGGGATACAAAATAACAGATACATTTAGTTTCCAGCTCGACAAACAATTTGTGAATCCCCAGGTAACATCTTGACTCAGAGTCGTCATGGAGTTGTACTCAACAGACGGTGAGAGCCAGTAAATATTCACGACGCTGTCACCTTCAACAACTAGTCACATGTTCGGGTAAAGGACAACGATATACGAACTTAGAAGTGGCAATTTCGCCCCTGTTAGTCATGAAGATGATTGTTTCAACGAGGAAAACACCCCTCTTGCCGAACTTAACCCTTGACTGATTCACTTTCTTGGAAGCCTGCCGAGTGTAAGGTGCGAGGTGCTCCTGGTGTGCTCCGGATTGCAGCGGTGGGTCCGTCAAGTGTTAAGTACTGCAAGAAGCGTGTGTTCCTCGTTGCAACTGCCAACTTAACAATTGTTTTTACTTTCAAATGTTTTTCCGCACTCAGAGTGGGCAATTCTTCGCCATCCTTCAAGCGTAGCCTAAGGCAAGTGTGGCCACCACCATAAGGCATATGCGGATAATGCCGGCAGACAAAAAAATTGCCAGAATTCGGTACTTTTCTGGTAAGTTTCATGCATGATTAGTACGTGGATAAAGAAATGGAGGAGAATTCGAGGAATTGCCCACCATAAAAAAGGTTTGTATGGTTCTGCCAATTTGTTCTCTGCTTTTCTAGCAGAATCCGCCACCTTTTCGAGCTTTATCCGCGAATGCCTAGCCACCATCGACTTAATTATTGATTATTGCTATCATTGAGGCTATCATTAATATAATGTTTGATAATAAATAGTTTGAAAGTGGCCATTGGTCATGGACCAGGAGTTGAGAGAAATAAATGAAATAAGATTTAGTCGATCGGCTTAGTGGTCGTAGGTAGAAATGTGCTTAGTCTTTTCTTTCAAGTGTTCCCAAGCTGCCCAGTCACTAGGGGTAAGAAGATTATGCTGAGGAAATGACTAGAATATGCTCTAGACGATTCTCGCAGAATGCTCGAGAAAACAGCCAATTATGTTTATAATTACACACACTTGAGAGGGACGAAAAGCGTTTCTTCTGTAACTCTGAGTTTCACGGTTTAAACCGATCATCAGACAGCAACTTGACTACAAGTTTCAGAAGATAAGATTGATATAGGCTGCAAGCTTGGATCATAGCGCGAATGGATGATCCGGGCTGATAGTGTAATTGTAAAAATGCGTGAGTTGGTTGATGGGGTGCAAAAATAGGCGCAAAAAAAAGAATACACTTTAGGCCTAGGCTCATGCGACCACATGTTCTTCTGAGGGAGGCAAGAAGAAGGACAATTCGGTAATTATGAGCAGCACATCACCTCCGACTGCGAGTGGTGAGAAGGTTATGTGACGGCTGATGGTGAGAATTTTGAGAGGTAGTACTTATTTTCATGCCTGCACTTGCTAACTGTAGTGTTCACGTGTTCCTACGCGCTGTGGCATTCCTTGGCCACTCCAGACATTCATGATGCATGTAGTAGTAGTAGTGCATCGTGATGTTATGCATGTAGCATGTGCCGTTTCCCGCGCGCGCGTGAAACGGACTTCGCGGCTTTTAGTTGCTGTGCATGGTTTGACTCAGGAGTCTTGTTGTTTTGGACTGAAGAAGAAACAATACCACATTGGCGCTGCGAGCTATTTCGTTCCTCCTCGGCGAGCATGGGTGACCGACCACCCGCAATTCCGCCCCCTGGACCGTTTCCTATTTATGTCTCCCTCTACGATGCCGCCACGCGCTGGCTCGCCTGGACACGGAGTTTCAAACTTTATCTTGCTGCGTCCAAAATTGGCGATGACGACCAACAGCGTGGGCTACTCCAGTACCTGGGAGGAGACGACATCCAGCAACTCGTGCCCACTCTCAGCAACACAGGGGCAACATTCGACGACCTCGCCAAAGCATTGCAGGACGAGTTCGATAAACACCAAAACAAAATGCTCCTCAGGTTCAATTTCCATCCGCTTCGTCAACAGCCGAACGAGACTATGGAGGGTTGCTGTTGTCGTGTGGGCGACCACGTGAAACGCAGCGGCTTCTCGGATACGGCCGCGGAGAAATTGGCTGTCTTGGACCAGCTGATTATCGGCTGCAAGTCCGACGCCCTTCGGCGAAAACTGCTGGAGATCGATGGCCTCGACTCCGACAAAGCTCTGAAAGCAGCCCGAGCGTATGAGGCCAGCATCACCCATGTACTCGCCATCAAGGACGCCTAACTGGGCTCTTCAGTGGCTTCACAGCAGGACGCCCACGTCGCTTCCCTGGCGTCAGCAGCACCCCAGCCTGCCCATGTGGATGCCCTCTTGGGGTCACAGCGCCACGGCTACGCAGCTGCACGCCAGCCCCAAGCCCAGTGTCCACAGTCTACCTCATCCGGTCTGACCTGCTACCGGTGTGGAAAGCCAGGCCATGCCACATGTGACGCTGCCAAGGGCCAGTTCTGTAGCCGCTGTGGCAAGCCAAACCATTTCGCTGCGGCATGCCGCGCCTCGGACTCCGCCATCTAGGCCCGCACGTTCAGGGAACGCCGTCCCCACCAACACTCTGACCAGCACGCTGTCAACAGCGGCCACCATGCCATTCATTCTTTAGAGATTGGCGCAGAGCTGTTTTCTACCGACTCTCCGCCTCGCCCATCTACGGCACCCTGCCGTGAGGATGCCCGGCGCACCGTGCACGTCAACGGCATACCCCTGACTGTCTTGGTGGATAGTGGTGCCAGTCACGATATCATCAATACTGATGACCTGGCAAAGGTTGCCCCTGGTGCAGCACTTCAGCAAACGGATGTGCAAATCTTTGCTTACGGCTCAACTTCACCTCTTCTTCTTCTGGGTAGCATCACCCTCTGTGTTTCCTCCGCTACCATGAGTTCGACGGCAACATTCCTCGTTGTCGCACACGCGCCACGTACCGCTGCTATCGTTGGCCGCGAGACCGCCATGCGTTTTGGCCTCATCCAGCTGGTCCACAGCATCGAAAGTCCGCAACTGCCAGACGACCTTGCTGAGTACCACGACCGCTTCCAGGGCCTCGGCTGCATCAACGACGTAGAAGCCCATATCTACGTAGATGGCAACGCCCGCCCTGTCGCTCACGCACCATCCAAAGTGGCTGTCCACCTCCAGGAGGACGCACTCGCTGAGCTCCATGAGCAGCTCGCATTGGATGTCATCGAGCCTGCCACTGGCCCCACCCCATGGGTTGCCCGAATGGTGGTCGTGCCGAAGCGCAAGGGCAAAGTGCGCCTCACGCAGGATTTCCGTGATGTCAACGCCGTTGCGGCACGGGAACGCCATCCCATCCCCACGCTTGAGGAGATTACTTCCGACATGCCAGGGGTCACCGTGTTCACCGAGTTGGATATGAACAAGACTTTCCACCAGATCTCACTGGCCGAGTCATCCCGTCTTTTCACCGTGTTCCACACACCCCTCGGCCTAATGCGGTGCAAGCGACTCGCCATGGGGTTGGCTTCAGCGTCTGAGATCCTCCAGCGGACCATGGACCGTGTCCTCGCGGGTCTCCCAGGTGTTCGCAGCGTGCACGACAATTATATTCATCTACGGCGAGACGGCCCAAGTCCACGATGAGCGCCTGCACGCCTGCCTGCAACGCCTACGTGCCCACAATGTTACCCTCAACCTGGCGAAGTGCCAGTTTCGCCAAACTCGCCTGGCCTTCATGTCGACTATCTACAGTCGCCGGGGCACTCAGGCTGCACCACACCACAAAGAGAGCATTGCTGTTTTCGCCACACCCAAGTCAGCTTCCAATATCAAGAGTTTCCTGGGTTTGGCGACATTCATGCGCCATTACATCCCCCACATGGCCACCAAGACGGCACCCCTGCGGAAACTCCTTGGCAAGGGTCAGCAGTGGGATTGATCACCCGAGGCTCAGGCAGCATTCGATGCCATCAAAGCCGACATAGCAGCTGATCGGGCCCTCGCCTACTTCGACCATACCAAATACACTCACCTTTACGTCGATGCCTCACCCGTTGGCCTTGGCGCCATCCTCTGCCAGTCTCCTGAAGCAGTCGTCCAGGATCACTCCGAGCTGAAACCAGTCGCATTCGCAAGCCGCAGCCTGACCCCCACTGAGCAGCGTTATTCGCAAACGGAACGCGAAGCCCTCGGTGTGAAGTACGGCTGCTTGCGCTTCTCCCATTTCCTCAGCGGCGACCCCGGCTTCACGGTCCACACCGATCACAAGCCCCTTCTACAGCTGCTTCACCCGTCTTCACGACCTCCACCCCGCATTGAACGGATGGCTCTCAAGGTCCAAGACCTCCACTTCAAGCTGGTGTATGAACCTGGCCCTACCAACCCAGCAGACGTCTTGAGTCGTCACCCTCAGCCACATCCTCCCCTGCCGAATGTTGGTGAGGAGGAGGACACCGCCTATATCAATGCCATCGCGCAGTCCTCTGTTCCCAACCCCCTCCTCTTGTCCGACATCCAAGGTGCAACTCGAGCAGACTCAACGCTCCAGGCCGTGCTGCTGTCACTGCAGACGGGCATGTGGGACGACAAGGCAGTGGACATCCGCCCTTTCTACACGCAAAGGCATGAACTCTCCGCCGCCGACGGTCTCCTGCTCAAGGACCATCATCTGGTGATTCCACTGTCTCTCCGAGAGCGGACACTTCAACTGGCCCACTCCGGCCACCAAGGCATGACACGGACCAAGCAACGACTGTACACGAAAGTCTGGTGGCCTGGCATGACGTCCGCTGCGGAATCCCTCTGCCGCCAATGCCTCTCCTGTCAGGCAAACACGCCAACAGGCCCATACAGGCCGGAATCCACACCGACCCCACCATCGACGGCGCCATGGCAACGGGTGTTTGTCGACCTGTATGGCCCCTTGCCAGGCGGAAGCACACTCTTGGTTGTGGTGGACCAACTGAGTCGCTACCCAGTCACTCACGTGTTCAACTCCACTCCCGCTACAGCTGGCGTACTTGCAGTGCTCCGCAGTGCGTTCGCAGCATTCGGCCTGCCAGAAGAAGTGGTCTCTGACAACGGCCCCCAGTTCCGCTCGGCGGAGTTCAACCGTTTCCTGGCCCAGATGGGCATCGCTCACAGTTGCACGCCTCCTCTCTGGCCCCAAGCCAATGGTGCAGTGGAGCGGATGAACCGCACGATCGGCAAGGTCCTCCGTGCTGCCCAACTGGATGGCCGAGATTTGCGTGCTGCACTTGACGAGTGGCTACTCGCATACCGCACCACTCCCCACCCCGCCACAGGCCTGCCGCCAGCTACCATCATGTTCGGCCGCAGCATCCGGGACACTCTCCCCAGCCTGTGCACGGCCCCAGCACCAGATGCGACCGTCACGGCGAACAAGGAGCATGCGTTCCGCGCCCGCCAATGCGAGGCGGCAAACCAGCATCGCAGTGCGCAACCGGCTTCGACCATCACCCTCTAGCCGGGTCAACAAGTTCTGCGCAAGAACGAACGGCAGCACAACAAGCTCGACTCAATCTGGGATCCAAACCCATGGACTGTGGACGAGATGACGGGCTCCACCGTGGTCATCACCCATCCAGTCGCAGGCCAGCGGGTCTCTAGGCATGTGTCATTTATGAAGCCGGCTCCCGCTATCGTGGTTCATCCTCCGTCACCCGAGCCTCCACTACCTACCCCGCCGCCACCGCCGCCACCACCGACAACACCGACCCTGCCCCACCGGCGGCGTCAGCAGCCACCGCGCTCGGCCAAGGCGGTCCACAAATATGTCCAAACAGCACGCGCCACCTGATGTATGTGTGCATCAAGTCCACCCTGAATCTCAGACTGGCTTCAGTTTTTTCCCTTTTATCCTCTGTGTGACTGTTTACCTGCTCCGCCTTTTCTATCTGTAGCATAGGGAGAGGGACAGCCTGACATCAAGTCATTAATTTTATCCATGCCTCGTGTTTTCAGTTTTCCACTTTTCACCCTACGTTTTTTCATCTGTGCTTGAGAGAGATGTAGTGTTCACATGTTCCTACGCGCTGTGGCATTCCTTGGCCACTCCAGACATTCATGATGCATGTAGTAGTAGTAGTACATCGTGATGTTATGCATGTAGCATGTGCCGTTTCCCGCGCGCGCGTGAAACGGACTTCGCGGCTTTTAGTTGCTGTGCATGGTTTGACTCTGGAGTCTTGTTGTTTTGGACTGAAGAAGTAACAATACTACACTAACTAGCTCCGATCTTTTGTCGATGTTGACACGCTGGTCCGCCTGTAGGATCTCCAGCTTCTCTCTTAGGCACAGAGGACAGCGCTTGGTTATGTTACTGTAACCTGGAGTCTGGGCGATACCTGACCAACCAAGACTGTACTCGCTGTTTTGAAGCTTCAGGTTCCAGACACACTTTGATAGTTCTGTGCTCTTCTCATGTCTCTCATGTCTGAATGATGTCAGATGGTTGCCGTATCTCTTCTTGAATTCTGGTTCCGTAAGGCCGATATACTCCTTCTGTCTGTCCTCTCCGGTTATTTGGACGGTTGCCTTGTACACAATAGAGCTGATTTGTCAGTTGCCGTCCATTGGACACTGCGCTTTGTCTCTGCAATTGCATCGTCTTTCCTTGGGCTGTCCATCGTTGGTTCCACTTTTCCGTTTAACTGAGTTGTTGTGTGACTTGACCATTGCAGACATATTCGGCATACAACTATAGCTTACTTTAACTGTATTCCGGTTGAAGATCTTGTGTAGTCTGGATCCGGCGGGGAAGTGTATTTCGATTAGTCGCAAGAATCTCTGTCCGATGTTTGTGGCCACTGTCTTGCTGAATGGCGGGTTGTACCAGATGATATTCCGCCGCATGTTTTTCTTTTTCTTGCTTGAATCCTTGTCTCTCTCTTCCAAGTACTCTAGTCCTTCGGTATAGCCACTGTTCCTAAGCGCGCTGTTGTATAGCGGTGCGGCTTCTCTGAACGCATCTTGGTTGGATGAAATATCGGTTAGCCGCCTACTAATAGCTTTCGGTATTTGCTTGATGATTGTTGGCGGATGGTTCGATTGGCTGTGGACATAGACCGGTGTATCGTTCGGTTTTCTATATGGACGATATGTTCCGTCTGCTAGGTTCAGCGTCACGTCCAGAAAATTCACAACCTTCATACCGGTGTCGATGGTTAGTCGTAGTCCGAGGTTGTTGAATATCTTGCAGACCGTCTTCCTCATTTGATCTGCTTCGCTGCCTGTCACGTCTCGTAGCACTGCTAGGCCGTCATCGCGGTACAGTCCGACGTCACTGCTGTTGATTTCGTGTGCAATCGTAGACAGTGCATACGTCCCAACTAGCTCGCATACTTCGGCACCGTCGAAGCATCCCATCGTGACGTCGAATAGTCCCCTTCCGTTCTTCTTCATCCAAGTATTGTCTCCACTGAATAATAGCGACTTGCGCGAATGTAGGATGATGTCTCTGTCTTGTTTGCTAATATCGGTGTACTGTTCAGCAAACTCGATAGCAAGCAGAAGGAGATCTTCCGAAATGGATGGGTAATATTCCACAATATCGAAACAGACAAATGCATACTCCGGCTCCCTCTCGATTGCTTGGAACCAGTCAATCACTGCGGCTGTATTCTTCCAGGAGTTAAGTGATAACTCTTCCCTTACATCTCGGACAATTCCTGATAATATCGTTTTGCTGACTCTTCCGATTTCGCTTTTGGATTTTTGCACCCCATCAACCAACTCACGCATTTTTACAATTACACTATCAGCCCGGATCATCCATTCGCGCTATGATCCAAGCTTGCAGCCTATATCAATCTTATCTTCTGAAACTTGTAGTCAAGTTGCTGTCTGATGATCGGTTAAAACCGTGAAACTCAGAGTTACAGAAGAAACGCTTTTCGTCCCTCTTAAGTGTGTGTACTAGGCTCTACACCGTGGTGTATTCAGCACTCTCACGAGCAACCACAACTCCCTCCGAGTATGCTTATAATTATATGCTTCACCGAAAATATCAAATCTGGCCAAAAGAACAGATAATGGTCATGAAAAAAGGACTCAAACCATTGCCATTATGTGGACTGGGAGAATTGATGAAGTACATCTACAAGACAATAGTATGCAAGATGATAACCAAATTCAAAAGCAGTCGCTGAATTGTTGGTAGACGTCCTATAGTGGCTGCCAAAATAATAATAATATTTCAAATCGACAATAAGCCCTATAAATAATCCATCAATAGCAAGTGTGTATATAACAGCCCCATTGGGCATCTGCCTTTGTTTTTCGGATGCCATTTTATGCTCCTTCTCAGAAAGGACCTGATTATGCCAACACTTATGCCTTCAATAGCAGATGTGTATAACAGCCTCATTGGACATCTGCCCTTGTTTTTCGGAGGCCATTCTATGCTCCTTCTTCAAAAGGGCCTAATTATGCCAAAAACTATGCCAGCATAATCCACTTACCCCTACCAGTCACCCATCATCTCCACTGAACATGACGGGTCTTCGGCTTTTGCGACCCTTTCTCCAGCACGCTGGCGATGTTTTGTTTGGTTTCAAAGTTTGTCACTATTAATTTACTTGAGCACACGAAGCACAGAAGGCATATCATTTTTTCGACTAGGCCTTTCATTCCATTACTCTTCAGGTCGAAAACAAGTCCTTAAAACCGGCACTTTTGGCGGGCAGAGCATTGACAAAAAATAGCACTTGAAAAATAGCGCTAGTGGCTCCAACAGCATATTTGGCGGTCAGAGCATAGACCAAATAGCAATTTAAAAGATAGAGCTAGTGGCGCAAAGTACACACTGAGACAATGGATATTACCAGTATCAGACAACAGTGAGGACCACGGTACTACAATGTCAAAACAGTGACAACTTTCGCACATTTCGTACTTCTTTTGCACGCGCAGTTCAGGCTTCAGCTTGGCAATGTACACTGCCTCCAGCACAGCAAGGTGAGATTTGTTGCGCGCGCGAGCTTGAAGAATGAAGTGAGATTGGGTGCCATGTTTGCAGACCGCACTTAGGCAGGCTGGTGACGATGTTAGGTGACAGAGTATCGCTGAGTCCTTCTCACTATCGTCATTGTCCGTTGGTCCATTCCGGTGGTAGCTATTGTGCATCGCAGTTGTGCCGCTGGCGACTTCACTGCCGGGCGAGGAGTCACACACTGTTCCACATGCCGATCCTGTATCAGCCGCTAAAGGAAAAGCGTTGTTGCGGAGACGCAGCCGTTCACTTCGCGTCGTGACAGTTGCTGGTGGTTTGATCGGTGTTGATTTTCTTCTCCTTTAGTTGACAGAGACGGTGATGTCCTTGCCTGCTCGGCTTCTCCCTGTCCTGACCGGTGTTGTTGTTTCTGCAACTGTCCGAACGAGTTTGTTGGGGATGTGCTGCTCTATGCGATCATCCAATCGTTGTGTTGTCCTGCCAATGTACCTGCGGTCACAATCACAGGTGAATAAATTGACATTACTTTAAGGGGGCAGCTGACCCATCAATTTTGTTTGTTACTATTTTCCACAGTGAGACAGGTGGAAAGAAGAGCCAATGTGCACGTTCAAGTACGGCCTTTAAAGGTAACAGTGCTGTGTTGGCGTGTTTGAATATCGGGTGTCTTGTACATGTACTACCTCCGAGTACGTTTCACAAGGTATCTACATGTATGCAGGTTCGATTCCTGGAACGCACATGATGATTCATGAAGAGACTCTTTTTGCAATAATGTTTGGTTTTCCGTAATCAGAGTGTGCAGTTTCCTGTTTTTTTACGCGCGTCCTTCACCACGATCTCCCACCAGAAAGGGGCAGAATGGCAAGCATCGACTTTAGTGACCTAGATAGCGAAGGTCCTGAACTAGAGCCCCAGGTAGCAGCTTGAATCAGAGTAATCACACAGTTCTACTCGACAGATGGCGAGAGCTAGTAAATATTCACAACGCTGTCACCTCCAGCAACTGGTCCCACGTCCGGGTGAAGGACAACAATATGAACTTAGAAGTTGCGATACCGTGAAGTGACTGAATTCCCAGGTAGCAGCTTGAGTCAGAGTCGTCCTGGAGTTGTACTCCGCCCATTGCCATGATGTGGACTTCGAGTTTTGTGAAAGTACAAGACACTAATATGCAAGAGGAATACCAAATTCATAAGGAAACGCTGAACCTTTGGGAGATGGCCTATAATGGCTGCCAAAATAATATTTCAAATCGACAAGAAGCCCTATGTATTACACCCAAACAGGATCTTAATAAAAAAGCTAACATTGAATCCCTTCTTTACCGCAGGCAGTTTTTGAGCTTATTTACCATGCACAAATATATTTTCAAGTATCGACGTTGCCTAGCTTCATTCCATTTCAATATCACGCAGAGTGCGAGACGCCCTAACAAAATTATTCTACCTAAAGCAAAGACCACATCAAAATCGTTGTTTCTCTTCCAAACCTCCCTCTTATGGAACTGCCTC